GGCGGGCACACGCGGGCACAGAGACACACGCGTGCACATACCTGCATGCGCACGCCTACCTGCGCACACGCACATCCGCATGCCCACACAGACATAGGCACACAGGCACATGTATGCATGCACGCACCTATACGCACATGCATACACGCACCTGCACACACAGGCACGCGCGCTCACACGCATGCATGTGCCTGAACACACGCACACACATGCATACACACACATGTGTACACACACCGGCACATATGCGCACGCCTACCTGCGCACACGCACATCCGCATGCCCACACAGACATAGGCACACAGGCACATGTATGCATGCACGCACCTATACGCACATGCATACACGCACCTGCACACACAGGCACGCGCGCTCACACGCATGCATGTGCCTGAACACACGCACACACATGCATACACACACATGTGTACACACACCGGCACATACACACACATGCACACACAGACATACGTGCATTCACACACGCGCGCACATGCACACACAGACGTGCATGCACATACATGTGCATACACATGCCTGCACATGCACATGTACACGTACTTTCATACACAGACAGGTACTCATGCACACACATGCACACACACACATACTTGCACATGCATGCAGACACACACACAGGCACATGGAGGCTTTGATCCCCCCCGGTGCCAGGGGCAGGGGCCGTGTGCATGTCTGGGGGGTGCTGGGGGGTGGGGACAAAGGGCGGGAGTCTCATCGCCCGACACCCCGGGGGCTGACACTCCCATGCCCGCTCCAGCTCAGGGCCCAGGGCTGGTTCTCTCGCCCACCACGGTGACACTCCTCTGCCCCACGCAGGAGCCCTGCCTGACCCCAGGACCCCGGGACACGGGAGGCGAGGGTCCCCACAGCTCCCCCCTCAGGCTGGTGCAGGGGCCTCAAGAGCCCTCGGCTTCCGGGCCACGACCTCTTCACTCCAGCCCAGGCCTCTGCAGGGAGAGAGGGGGCAGCCAGGGTCTGCCCCTGTCCCGTGCTACCACTCCAGCTGGTCCCCGAGCAGTAGGGCCTGTGCGGCATCCCCTCCCGGAGCCCAGGCCTCAGGGAGACCGGCTTAATGATTAATTACCAACGAATCCTGGCAGCTCCCGGGAGGGGAGGTCCCTGCTAGGCCGCTCCAGGGTTTGCCCGCGGTGCCAGGCAGGCCCAGGGACAGGCGAGAACCCCCTGCCAGAGGCAGCTCCGTCGGGCAAGGAGGCTGCAGGGGGGTCCAGATCCCATAGGCCCCAGCTCCCAGGCGCCCTCCTCGGCCTCTATTCCTTCCCCTTCCCCCTCGACTCCCGTTGCAGCAGGCGCTGCCTGGATCCGGGCACAGCACCACGTGGGAACTTTAACCCTTCAGGGAGGCGGCAGGAAAGGGAAAAGAGCAGCCTCCAGACTCCTCTGACCCATCATCTCCTCAGGGCCCTGCAAGCCTGGATCGGGACCACCCTGGAGGCCCATTCGCAGGGCCCCAGGCCTCTGGGGTGGTCCTGATCCAGGCAGCACCCGCCACCCAGAGCAGAGCACCGAGACATCAGCATGGAGTCCTGAGCTCGGTCTGGACGTGCTGGGAGCCCTCCTGACCTCGCCGGAGGGGCCGCAGCTGTTCGTTCACCTTCCCCCCAGAAAGCAGGCACCAGATGCCTTGACCTGCACTCAGCTGCTCGGTTTGCTGCATCGTTTCTACGCGGAGCCCTCGCTGCCCCTCGAGAGGGGACTGCCCGCTTTGGGGAGAGGGTCAGGGGTCCAAGGGGTAGAGCAGGGGCCCAGAGACCCACACTCCTGGCTTCTGTTCTCAGCTATGAGAGGGCATAAGCGCCACAGGCCCTGGGGTCTGCTTTTGGCTGCCCCCCTGGCCCTTCCCCATAGCAATGCCCCAGGTCCTGGGGCACTTTGGACCTGCAGGGGAGGGGCCTCCTGCAGGAGTGGGGAGTAAAAGCAGAGAGGGTCCAAAGGCCCTTGACACCCCTGGGGTCCCAGGGACTCACGGCCCCTCTGACCTGTAGCCCTGCCCTCCCCTTGCCCCACAGGTCCAGGGGCACCAGCCTGCCCCATGCCCCCCACCCCCGCCTTCCCGTCCACTGCAGCATTGCAGGCCAGAGGCAGGGGCCCGGTGAGGTGATACCTAGACAAGGCAGCGCTCGCAGCGAGCCAAATGGGTAAAGCGCCCTGGGATTAATTATGACAAGGGCCCATTCATCTCAGAGCACTCAGCGTTCATTAACCCCCTGAAAAGCCCCCAGGGCAGTCATCACCCCTCTGGGAGGACCAGGTAAACTGAGGCAGCAAATGGGAAGTGAGAGAACCCAAGGGCCTTGCGGTCTGGCAGCGCTTTCACCCTGCAGCTAGGGGCTGGGAAACCTCCCTGGCCTACAGGTTGCAGAAGAGGAAGCAGTGACATAGCCACAGTGCCACGAAGTGCCAGGAAGGTGCCCAGACCTACGGGGCAGTTTCTGACCCCACTGCATCCAGCCTGGCCCCACCCAGCACCCACTTGGTGCCAGGCCCTGCTTGCTCCCGTGCCCACCCGGCCCTGCCAGGCTGGTCCGAGCCCCGGGACGGGCCAGTGCAGCCCCTCTCCCGGCGGAGCTGTCTGCAGAGGAGGGGGCAGAGCTGGGCAGCCAGGACTGCCCCCCGCAGTGCAGGCTGGTTATCAGCACCCAGCTCCATCAGGCTTCCAGTTGCCTGGCGACGGCTCTGCCTGAGATTCGATTGATCCGAATTATGCTGTAAACAGAGTCGCCCTGGTAACGGGGTGGAAGTTCACCCGCAAATAAAGAGAGGAGGTGCCACCGCCATGGGGGGAGGGGAGGTGCCGGAGCCCCGGGGGCAGGTACCGGGGTCCTGGGGGCAGGTATCAGGGCCCTGGGCGCAGATGCTGGAGCCCCGGGGGCAGCCGTGGGGGATAGACCCGTGCCCCTTGCAGGGAGGGTGCTGCCGGGAGGGTGCTGGAGCTGGGGGCAGGTGAGAAGCCCGGGCTCCTGGGCTCTGCCTCACTCTGCAGCAGGGACTGGCCCCTCACCCCAGGCCAGGTCACTGATCCTCCCAGGGCTTGGGGTGGGGCTGGCAGGGAGAGGGCTGCAGCACCAGGGCCCAGGGGCTGTGTATTGCAGGGCCTCCCCTGCCCTCTGGTGGCATCTCCATGCCACTGCCACGGCCACTGCCACGGCCCAGGGACCCGGGCTGGTGCAGCAGGGCCTGGAGCCCCAGGGGCCAGCCCAAGCCACTGGATGGACCTGGGGTATGAAGGGAGCCCCTGCCAGCACTGGGGATCCCATGCAAGGCTGGCGTGCAAGTGGCACATGCGTTGCCACGTGTGTGCCCTGTAACTGTGCACCCCTGCCTGGCACAGACACACCCATGCCCAGGGCACCAACTATGCACACGTGATGTGTGCACATCCCCCCCAGGGGCACCCACAGCCACCCCACACTGCATACATGGGATGGGCCTGTACACACGTGCTCATGCCAGGCTCTGTCCCTACCTGTGCCCCCCCCCCCCCCCCCCCCCCCCCCACCACCCCTGGGGTGCTGGCAGCTGCAAAGTGCCCCTCCACCCTTTGGGCCCAGCTGCTGTCCTCACACCCCCAACAGTGACCCACTGCCCCAGGCCATGGCCACCCAAGCCAGGCACTGAGCCCCCAGCCCCATCCAGCTCCATGCCTGGGAAGGGGAAGGAGGGTCTTGGTTGGCCCTGCATCCCCCTCCCCTGGTCTAGCCCCCAAGCCCCCCGCCAGGGACCTCAGCCTGCAGCCCCCGCAAAGCCAGATCCCTGAGCTCCATGTCTGTTCCCCTGTCAGAGTCCTGGGACCTAGAGGCATCTCTGCCCACAGGTTTCCAGCCCCCCGGTGGGAGGCAGGAGGGGGCTGGCCTGGGGGGCCAGTGAAGCTGGCCCTGAAACCCATCCTCACACTCAGCTGCCCTGACACTTGGGTCCAGGACCATGGGAGCTGACAGCCTCACTCCTGTCCCCCGCAGTCTGGGCACTCAGGGCATGAAGGGCACCGGAGCCATACCTGTGTGGCGCTGTCTCCGGCAGTCATCCCTGGCAAGGTGGTCCTGGGTGCCAGGGGTGTCGGGGGTCCTGGCTCCCCCACGAGGCTATGAGCTTTGGCTGCCCTGGATCTGCGCATGTGCCTACATGACCTACCATGTCCCCCTCTGTCCGCATCCAGCGTCTCATGGTGCGTTGGTGCCCAGGCCAGACCAGGCCACACATGCGTGTGCGTACACGTGCACAGGCATGCGTGTTGGGGATGCGGTGAAGCACTCGTGCCATACCGGGATCATGCCGGCCGGTGCCTCTCCCTTGCACCCAACCACACCAGAGCCACCCCCTTCTGCCTCAGTGGAGCTGGAGCCTCAGCACCCTGGAGCGGCGCCATGGCTCAGACCCCGTAGCAGCACCACCCCTGCCCCTGGCATCCTCCTGCAGGAGGGTCTGTCCCAGCCCTCCTTTCACTGCCCATCCCATCTGCCCCCAGACCCTGCCCAGGCTGGCTGTTGCCAGGGGGTGCAAACACCAGTGCCCCTTTTCCCCCTGCATTGGCTCCTTTGCCCCATTCCCACCTCCCTGCTCCCCCAGATCCCCCCACCACTGCCCAGCTGATCCCGCCTAGCTGTGCACCCGGGACCCAGCCCCCCCGCTTCCCCACGCAGTGCTCTCCAGGCTGGGCCAGGCGGGGGAGCATCCCCGGCGCCGGGGGACAGTGGCTCTGCAGAGGCGCCTGGCAGCAGCCTGGGCTGCTCAATAATTCATGGCTGCAGGCTCACTCGCTCGCTCACGCATGCATGATGCCCTCCTTCGGGGCCGCACACTGCCCCCATATGGGGTGCAGGCTCCAGCTAGCAGGAGGGGTGCTGAGTCCTGCCCAGGGATGAGGGCAGGAGTCCTGGCCCTCAGACCCCCTGTGCTGGGCCCTAGGCCCTGCTCTCCCATGGCCAGTGGAGCCAAGGGGTCCTGCGCCTGGCGTCAGCAAGAGGCTCGGGGCAGCTCTGTATAGAGCAGCGCTGCGTCAGGGCATGCGCCAGGAAATGCTGAGCTCTCCATCTGCAGCTCGGGCCGGGGGGCTTGGGTCACCAGTGCTGCCCAGCCCAGCCTGGTCTGAGCCATGCGGAGTCCAAGACAGCGGCCAGGGCAACCTGCGGCCAGGCAGGGTGGGCTCAGCTGGGACTCATGACCCCCCAGGGAAACTGAGGCACAGCGAAGTGAAGCAACTTACCACCACCCCATGGCTAGGATGGGATCTAGGAGTCATGCCCCCCACCACCAGCTCTTCGAACCCAGGAGTGAGAGCCCGCCTGCTCAGACACCAGCCCCCAGCCCCTCCCGGAGTAGGACTGGCTCCCAGCCCCCCTGTCTTTGGCCGCTTCCCGCCCCCCCACGCCCTGCCTCAGAGAGCAGGCTGGAAGGAGTGGGGGCAGAAGCCCTGGGCACCAGGAGCTGAGCCCAGCCCCCCACCCCCACCTCCCCCCACGCCTCCATCTCCTCTTGGAGAAACCCAAGATGCTGGCGTGTCCCGGGGGCATGCGCTGGCCTTGGCCCGGCACATCCATTAGCGGCGCAGCCTGGGCCCGGCTCGCATTTATGCATCTGCTGCACAACAGATAATGGCAGGCCCCCCCCCCTCCCGCCCGCCTCGCACCCGGGTCGATACAGCAGAAGGAGTGCAGAGAAGCACGGCCCCGCGCTGCCGGGGGCGGGGGCAGGCCCAAAGCGGGTCCCTTTTGGGGGGCACGGGCAGGCCGGAGCCGTCGCTGGGTGCAGCTGTTTCTGGGGTGCAGCATGGCCCTGGGGGGGCTGGAAGTGGGGCCCAGACACGCATGGCAAGAGCTGCTGTGCGGCTCGTTCAGCCTACCCTGCCCCAGCTGAGCTGCCCGGGGCTCCTGGGCTGTGGGGGCAGCTGGCTGCTGAGTCCCTGACCCTGACCCTGACCCGAGGGAAGCTCCAATCAGCACCTTGGAGAGATGCCAGCAGGGCAGGGGCTGCGGGATGGCAGCTGGGCCCGGGCCTGGCTCCGTGGCCGGGGCTTGGCTCCCCCCCGCCCCAACCCCACAGGGCTTTGCTCTGGGGCTTGGATGTGCCACTGCCAGCTCCTGGGCCAGCCCAGGCCAAAGAGGGCCTGGCATTGACCTCGTGACCCCAGACCACTGTGGCGGGCTGGGACCTGGGAAATCGGGGCCATGCTGGGGCAAGAAGGCCTCACCGGCATGGGGACTATTTGATGATTGAAGTTTTCGTGGTGCAAAACCACAGTCTCTGAGGGCTGTCTCCGGTGTTGGCGGCTGGCGCTCACCAGC